TGGATAGAAGATAAAAAAAAAAAAAAAAAAGACGTATTTATTTTAGGTACATAGGCATTTCACCTGCACACCAGAAGCGGGCACAGGAGCCCATGGGCTACAGCTACAGTTGTCAGCTGTCATGTGGGCACTGGGAATTGAACTTAGGACAAAAGAGCTACCACTGTTCTTAACTGCTGAACCATCTCTCAAGCCCCTACTGGGTTTTTGTTGGTTGGTTGGTTTTTCAAGACAGGGTTTCTTTGTAGCTTTAGAGCCTGTCCTGGAACTCGCTCTGTAAACCAGGCTGGCCTCGAACTCTCACAGATATCCACCTGCCTCTGCGCCCTCACACACACACACACACACACACACACACACACACACACACACACACACACCCCGCATGCTGGGATTAAAGGCTAAAGAACCTTACTTCCTGTCATGCATAATGGCATATGCCTGACAGTCCCAGCACCTGGGTGGCAGATGCAGAAGGCTCACCTCAAGTCTGAGGTCAATCTGGTTTACTTAGGGAGTTCCATGCTAGCCAATGCTACATAACAAAATCTTGTCTCCAAAAACTAAAATACGTTATTTACCATCAGGTCTCATATTTTGATTTTCCCTGACTACTACTAGGACATCATATAATTTTATCCATTTTCTTTCAAACTAAGCTAGAAGCGGTGTTCCCCCGAAACTTCCCCTGACACCTCAGATTCAAACAATCCCATTTACTGTCTCATCATCCAAGAGACAAGCAAACACTCCACTGGCTACCAAGAGTGGGAAATGCTCTCCACACTCGGCTCTTCTTGTTTCTGGAGGCTACACCATAAAGACGATCCTTGCCATCGGCGTCCTTGTGTCTCCACAGCAGACAAAATGCAAGTCCACTCGTGGTCTCACCTGGTCATTTCACTCCTGATGAGAACCAGTGGCAACGGAAGGCAGCAAAGGTACAGTGTTGCCTTTTATACAAAAACTTCCCGGGCACCATAATAAATAGAAAAGGCTTTTTTTTTGGGGGGGGGGGTCTAACAGCAAACACCAGTACCACAAGTGTTGATTACTTCAATAATTCTGTCACATTGTTAAGGAAAAAAAAAACAAAACCAAACGAACAAAAAAATAACATTTGTCTATGATCCCACCTCCTCCCAAATCATTAACCCAAGATCGTCTTACCCTCTCTCTCTCTTCCTCCTGCCGTCTTATTCCTTCTCCTTTCCAGGGCTCCTGAACTTTCTGGAAACAAATTCTCTAGGTTACAGAGGCCAGTAAGCGGAGGCCACCAGAGAACTGCACAGAACCTCAGAAGTTCTTTGACTGTCAGCAATCTAGAAAGCAGGTAGCTTCCCCAGAAACAATCCAAGGATGGAAGGACAGGCGCCCAGTGCCACCCACTACGTGGATAGAAGGGAAATAAAACCAGTTCCCCAAAACTAAGATGAATGCTATCACCAGCATTTGGGTTTCACTCCTAGGCTCGGACACTTAGTCTTCATTCCTCAGGGCTAAGAGTAACAGGGAGTCAGAGAACGGAGGACATGAAGGAGGCTCCTGCTCCTGAGAAGTGGTTCAGAGAGCAACGCTGAGGGTAGGGGGATGCCCAAGCCCTTGTGTCAGGCACAGTGCCAAGTTCAGGCCCAGCCACTTCCTCTGGCCTCGCCCACCCACTCCACTTCTGTGGGGACTTCGCCCCCTGCCTACCCAAGGCCTTGTGCCAAGTAGTACCTCCTTCAACCTTCAGTGGTCTCTAGACTGGAGACCCCCAGCTGTCCCCCTAAAACCTTCGCACCCCTGAGACACCCAACTGGGTCCTTCCTCCCGATGTCAACTCCCACTCCGTCCTCAAAGGCCAGTCTTTGGGACGTCCCTCCTTCACCCCTCCAGGGAGCTGAACTCTGCCACCCACCAGACAGGCACCCGCCCCCTAAACCCCCCCATTCCTCCTCATCGCCCGCTCCTCCACAACCACTTCCGGTTCCGGGACAGACACACTTGCAGTCACATCGTGGACCACCCCCCCACCCCGTCCGCCCGCTCGCCCAAGGAAAAGGGGAGGGGGAGGAGCGAGGAGCTTGGCGCGCGCCGAGTGCAGCGGCGCGAGACTCACCCGGCGGCGGCGGCGGCGGCGCCAGCGCCTGAGCCAGCGCGCGGGAGGGGCGGCGTTTGCAGGGAATGGAGGGAGCCGAGCGAGCGGGAGAACCCGCGGGGCGCGGGACGGGGAACGAAAGGCGGGGTGCGCGGGCATGCACTGCAGGCGCCAGACGGATCTCCACACTCGCAGAGCTGCGCGCGAGACACCCGCGGGGCGGGGGCGCGAGGCAGTGTGTGCCCCCCCCCCCGCCCTCCCTCCTGAACACTCACCCGGAAGTGGTGCTGCGGCTCGTGCTCCCGGGAACCCCGATTCCTCCACGCCCACCTTCCTCCCCCCCCCCAGCCTCAGTGAGGAGTCGTTTCGCGGAGAAGGCGGGAGAGCCGGAAACGAAAAAGGGGGGGGGGAGGGAAATAGCAAAGGGAGGGTGGTAGCAGGAAAGTGGGGGGGGGAGAGAAAGAGTTCAAAGGCCGAGTCACTTCCGGGAGCGCCTAGAATGCATCCGGCGCTGCTAAGGACTCAGGAATTCTGAGGGCAGAAGTTACGGCAAGTAAGGGCGGAAGTGGCTCCTACCCAGGGACGTGTGGAGCATTCGGTAGACGTGACGCCCCAGCGGAAGTGAAGGCGGGTTCTGTTAGCTGAAGCTGAGCATTCGAAGAGCGGTCCCGGGCTTCCGGAAGAGACTTCTGAGGAAGTCGTAGCGTGAGAGCTGATCAGGTTCATGAATTATGCATCAAGGCAGTAAAGACAGTTTAGGTTCTCCCTTTTCTAGGTTTATTTTTATTTGTGTGTATAAATCCGTGTAGGTGTATGCGGGTGCCCTCAGCAGCCCCCTGGAGTTACAGACAGCTTTGAGCTTCCCTGCCTAGGTGCTGAACCGAACCTCTGGTCCTCCGGTAGAGCAACAAGCACTCCTTACGGCTGAGCCGTCCCTTCGGTCCCCCCCGTAGAGGCGGTACGGATTCTTAAAAGACGGGTCACGGTTCATTTCTGGGTGTAATCGGTTGTGTAGGAAGTTAATTGACTTGTTCTTGAATCTTCACGAGGGTCCCTTTGCTGAGCTAGGGTGGGGAATGCCTCAGTGCTTTGAATAGTCAAGAAAAGGTAAGAATGTGTCCATAGTTGCTTGAGATCCCTGAAAATTCAACCGTCTTCCGGTGACTACGCCGAGACTCTTATCTTTGCTTTGGTCTTTTCTTGTTGCCTCCACCCACACGACATTCAGGCGTACCTCCTCCCAGCTCCATCAGGGCTAGGACTTTGAATTGCTCCCTGTTAGGTATCAACAGATCCCAGAACTTAAGCTGTTGAGTAAACGTTTGTTGTATAAATGCGCAGTTGATTATGAACTACTCCAAGAGATCTTCCCCAATTGCTCCAACCCAAAGTTTCATTTAAAATTTTGTAGCATTTACAGCGTGTCTTTATTTTTGTTTTTGTTTTTTAAGACAAGACAGGGTTTCTCTGTGTAGCCCTGGCTGTCCTGGAATTCTATCCTTAGTCCAGGCTGGCTTTGAACTCACAGAAATCCATCTGCTTCTGCCTCTCAAGTGCTGGGATTGAAGGCGTGCATCACCACTGCCCGCCCAGCTAAGTCTTTGTCTTTGAAACAGGATCTTGCGCAGGTACAGTTCATGCTGACCTTGAATCCTAAATCCACTTTCTAAATGGATTTCTAATCTCGTATGTGATGGGATTTCAAGCCTCTCTTAGTCTATAGTTTATACTGTTAATTTTAACTAATTTGTATATCTGGTTCTCTAGTGAGATTGTCAGGGAAGAAACTGTTCACACTAGATACTGTTAAGTATCTAGTTAAGTGTTAAGTCACCTATGTTACCACTGTTGAGAGGATCAGCTTCCTTCTATCCTATCTTGTACCCTCCCTAAGCTGCTAAACTGCTGGTGTGTAACAGCTCCGAGGTGGGATGGGACAATGGGATAACTTCCTGAATGCTTGCTTATATCCCATCTGCTTCCTTCACTAACCTGCTAGGCTCTGAGATGCCCTACTCTCTAAAGGCTATAAATGTTAGTAGTTTTCTTTGTTCTACAGGTTCTTGTGGGTCTCCTGTACCAGCTTCCTCTGCTTCAGTTGGCTGGTGTGATTAAAGGACATGATTACCAGAAATCCATCTCAGTACCAAACCTGGAACGAATCTTTAATATTTAAGACAATACATTTATTTATTTAGTAAATCTATGTAGCCACAAGGCCAAACAGCATGATCTGGCTAGAGTCTCTGAGCTTAGGTCTGTTTTGGCTAATGCAGAATTGAGTTTCCTCAGTGAGAAAGCAAAATTACTCTAACAAGTAACTACAATCTTATTCTACAGATAGTTAAAGTGAGACTAAGTGACTCTTCCCCCTCCAAAGTCACAGCCAGCAATAGTAAACCATACCTTAATATACTAGTTAGTTAGTTTGTTAGGTAGTGATAGAGTCTCACTATGTAGCTTTAGCTTAGCCTGGGATCAGGTTGACCAGGCAGTCTTGTCTACTTTGAAACAGAATCTCTTGTAGCCTAGGCTGGCCACAAACTTGCCAGGATAACTTTGAACCCCCAATCCTGCTGCCTTAAGCTCTCTCCTCAGTGCTGGATTACAGACATGAGCCACCACACCTTTTATTTGTTTTGGTTTGAGTTTTTGTGTATTTGTGTGTAAGTGGAGGCCAGAGGTCATTATCAGATGTCTTCTTTAATCCCTGTGCTCATTTTTTTGAGGTGGGATCTCTAAGTTAACCTAAAGCTCACCAATTCAACCACATCGACTGGTCATTGAGCCCCCCCCCCCACACACACACACAGTGCTGGAGTTACAAATCTGAGCCACCAGACTCACATCTCCCCAGCAACATTGTGGTGGTGGTGTCTGCCTGTTTGGTGTTTTGAGATGGCCTCACTAAGCTCACACCACCTCAAACTTACCACATTGATAAAATGACCTTGAACTCCTAATTGCCCAAGAGCTGGAATTAGGGGCAAGCCACCAGCAGTGTTTCTTCCTGTTTATCACAATGTTGAGCCCAACACTCAGTCTATGTTGATTTCAGTGGCAAATTAACAGGATAAGAGTTTAAGTGGCCCAGTTGTCATGTACCTGTAATCCCAGCTTTCAAGAAGCTGTGTCAGGATTAAGAATTACAGGTAGGTGAGGCAGAGGTGGCACACACCTTTAATCCCAGCACTTGGGAGGTAGAGACAGGCAGATTTCTGAGTTTGAGGCCACTGTGGTTTACAGAGGGAGTTCCAGGAAAGACCCCAAAGCTATATAATTCCTGTCCCAAAAAGACAAAAAAAAAAAAAAGTTATAGGCAGGCCAGCCTGAGTTATGTAGAAAAGACTCTGCCTCCAAAAGAGAAGGAGGTGAAAGAAAAAAGATAGAAGGGAGGAGAGGAAAAGAATGGAAACAAAATAGTAATTCCCCAAAGTCCTGGTTCTCCAGCTCTGCCTCCTGTACACATTCAAGCCCTCGTGCCTCGGGCAGCCCCTCCTGCCTTTGCTGTAAGGAGCAACTTTTAAGTCCTTGGAGCAAAGCTTTGATGCTGTAAATCTGGGAAATGGTGGGGAGGAGGGCTGTTAATTTTAGCCTGGGTTCTCCAGCTGGCACAGTTTCCATCTTGAATCATTTCCACACCCTGATCTCTGCTAGGAGATCCCTCCTCCCAAGGGCTTTCCCATCCCCTTCTTTGGTATGTGCCCAATGGTAAGCATTCCAGAAGTATGCCCGGGAGAACCTTGGCTGAGTCATTTGATGTACCCCTCAACAAAGAGTTTGGTGATAGGAGAGTCGACGCCTCCAGTCAGGCCTGTGACATGTAGACTTGACAAAACTTTCAAAAGAGCAGCTTGGCCCTTGTTTACTTTCCCTTCTATAACTCTGTTACCCACAGCCTCAAGGATTTGAGGACCTGAGTCACTGAGTTTTAGGAAAGGAAAATTCAAGTGTGCTCCAGACCCCCGAGGTGTCATGGTTAGCACCGACCCAGTCTAGCACAACTCGAGGCAATCCACACATCCGGACTGTCATTCTCCCATCTTTCTTTTTTTTTTTTCTCCCATCTTTCTAGCCTCCTGCCTTTCCATGGGGAGAGGACATTGAGGGAAGAGAACAGGTGAGATTTCCAGTATCTTTAATGGTGTGTTTAATTTATTTAAATTTAGGAGAACTGCAGTCTAATCAGAGAGCAATTAATTCCTTCATTAGGGGACTTCATGTGTGCCTTTTGCATATGGATGAGCCACAGGGTCACACTGTCCCTCTAAAGAGTTGTTGAAGGTGAGAGCCCCAGGAGCCCTCCAAACAGTTCCTTGCCCTTCTGCACCAAATGCTCTTTCCCCCCACTCTCTTCTGGCAAGGGCTCGCAGCCCTGTGGGAAAAGCTGCAAAGGTTAAGGAGGCTTCCTTCACCTTCCCCAGAGCCCTTCCCTAGCCCAGCCTGTCAGCACCTCACCCTGCACCTTCCGTTTCCTCCCAGCTGCTCAGCTCCCTCTGGGTTCTCTGGGTGCACTGTGTGACAGCCCTCCTCAGAAGCCTGGACCTCACACCTCTGCTGGTTGGTTCATTATTCTGGCCTGGGGCTGCTTTCCTCTGGCGCAGTCTGTCCTAAACACCACTGTCATCCTGAGAAATACATTCCTTCCTCTCCACACTCGTATGCTTTAGGGGTTCAAACACATTTCCCTCAATAGGCAGTACAGCTCCCCAGCATCTAAAGCACACCTACCAACACACACGCGCACGTACACTTCCTATTTATATCAAAGATAAAACGCATGGAGGCAGGTACAGTCCAGGCAGCCCACACTGCCCTCTTGGATACTATATTGCCACCTACTTCCCTGTGGTTGCCCATTTCCAGGGAGCAGGTGAGGCACAGATGGGGGCGGGAGGGGGGGGAAGCAAGACCTAGGTGGTTACCACAGCAACTGAGCCTCGCAACAGCTGAAAAGCTGATGTGTGGGCTTTACTAGAGCTGTTGAAGATCCAAACCTAGAATCAGGACCTCAGAGGTGACTGATCCCAGCTGGGCAGCCTGTGTTCCCTCCCCAGACACACCCCTTGATTCCACCCCCACACCCCAGCGAATGCCTTTCTCAGAATGGAAAAGCTAATGAGCTAACCACACAGGGCGTCTGGTGCAGCATAGCTTTTGGCAGGCGGCTGTAGGTAGGGGCATGTTAAGAAGCAAGGATGAAAGTAAGCCAAGTAGAGAGCCCTCTCTCCTGGGGCTCACCCAATGTTTTTTTTCCCCCTCCTCTCCA